AAATATATATAAATTTATTTCAGATCCAAAACAGACAAAAAGAGACCCATAAAAAGCTCGTAAAAGTGCGAAAATGATTTTAGGACAAAAAAGGAACACTTTAAATGCCGAAAGAACGAACGGAAAAGGATATGACATATTTAAATAAAAGGGTTATTAAGTGTTTTTAAATTGGGATGAGAGAAATTTGGGAGATCAAAGGATTAAAGGGGGAAAATATATTTAAAAATAAAGGGGTATTATGTTTAGAATGGCATTAAGGCTGCAAAAATGAGGGAGGATATAGAGGAAAAAGTTTTATTGAAAAAGTAGAAGAGGCCTTTACCCCTCCTCATAAGCTAGAGGGGCAGGAGGCTTGTAAAGGGGGTTTAGTTAAAAATTGATAAGAAATTTTTAAAAATTCCAAAAAAACATAAAATACTTCTAAAATAAATTTAGAACGTGAGGCGCTAAATTTAGAACATAGGGCACCAAATATCCAAGTTTTAAGTGCCGGATCGACTCAGAAATGACCAGATTCTTGACCTGAGTCAAGGAAAAATCAAAGAACACTGAAAAATGCCTTGATCGGATCCAGATCCAGCTCGCTCTCTAGAAATGACAAATGAATAAATGTATTGAGGATGAGATCGAACTTTTCTAATGCATCACACTTGAACTGATGTATGGATGTTCCTGGGAAATCTAGAACCGATAACCAATGCTTTCCAAATATCCGACCTTCTATGGATATCAGGGACGGTGAAAATATTAAATTTGAAAGGGATGCAGTTTTAAAAGTATGAGGAATGCCTAAGCTTTCAGTAAAAAATTTCTTTTAAATACACTCCCAACCTGAACCTAATAAACAATTTATAAATCTTGATCCTTTAGTTAATTAAATAGGCTGGAAAAAAGGGAACGCAAATTAAATCAGACGGAAATGAAATTGATCACTAAATAATGATAAAAGAAGCTAATTTGTGTATAGAAAAATCGCGCACATGTTTCACTTAGAAACAGATGAAGGGACCGAAGGAATGGTCGCCTATAGTGAGATTTTGTGGAAGGGATTTTGAGGGAGTTGAAAAGAATTCTTCAAGAAAATCAGCAGTAAATATAGAGCTACGTCACTATTAGAATTGTAACCCTACCCTGAAGTCGAGGAAGTCCCTGTTGCCCCTCCCGTCAGGAACAACCCTAGTCAGGTATATGGAGCTACAAATAGAACCACGTAAAAATTCATTGAAAAAGGGAAAATAAAAAAATTTTCTTCAAAAAAGGTAGACAAGAATCATTCCCCAAATCAAACAGGAATCACCCCTTTTCTCTTCTAATTAATTCAAAACCCTTATCAATAATGATATCTATTCTTAAAATTTTAAAAGAGATTTTCAACCAAAACAGGTTGCAACTTTCCAAATAAAATTAAATCGCAGCATGATATCCAAAACCTTTTTAAATAAAATCGGGAAGGGATCAGCAACAATGAGAGAGGATTTACAAAGGCAATGAAGTAGCAATAAATGGAAGGGAGAAAAGGGAGGGAGAGAAAAGGTGTTTAAAACGCCCGGTCATTCAATCTATCTCTTCTGCTTGATTGAAATCAAGCCAAAAACAAACAACACACAAAAATTGTGTGTGCTGGCAAATAAATAAATTTGTTAGTTAATATAGTCAGCCGATGTTGAAACACGCACTTTTTCGTTTTTCTGCAAAATAAGAGGGGAAAGATCGAGACTTTTTGATAAATGAGAGATGCGCGGAAAAGTGAATGATCCAAATAATCGCGAGGATAGCTAAATAGAGGAAGGGTACAGTCCAATAAAAAAAGGGGGTGGGAGATGTAAATGAGGGGATAAACTGAGATAAGGTGATAAAAAGGTAGAGGAAAAATGTGTCTCTCAGAATTGAGGGATCTGAGGGATAATTTGAGTGATAACTATAAGGAGTTAAAGATCTTCAATAGCGAGTTAAAGACGGGGTGGGCTAGACAGGCTGGGCTTTCACATTTTTCAGCGCGAAAATTTCGCAGTCCGTATTTCGCTTTTTATTTTTAGATTTCGCCCAGCCCTGTTAAAGACCCTCATTGAAAGCGGGGAAAGTGAGACTTCGAGGGGGGGGGACTCCCAGTATCCCCACTTTCGAAGAGGGTCTTTAACTCCTTATTCAAGGTTTTCCTATATGTCCACCGACCCTATAAGGAATATGGAAAATTATCATCATACTAGACCAAAAATAATTTTAAATTAAATAAAATTTAATGTTTCAATATCACACGAATACAAGGCTTGTTTCAGTTTAAAAACGTGGAAATAAATGAAAGAAAAGGGACTGACTTGAAAGGGGAAAGAGTTAAAAATGAGCGCAAGTGAGGGATGACTGAATGACTCGCGCCGGCCGGTTGATGCGCGACAATCGCCGATGATGGACGTATGCATGATCGGTAATTGATAGGGGGAAAGGGGGAGAATAAAATAAATGTTTTTATGAAAATAACAACACCGATTTGGAGAATAAATTGGAAAAAAGAAAAAGGTATTTGGGGTGGTCAAGGAGGGAAGGAGAGAGGGGAGGGAAGGAAAGGAAGGGAGTAAACAAGAATGTAAAAGATATTTGTTAAAAATTTTGGTGAATCCTGCTGATTTTTTAAAATTAGTTGGGCAATCCCCTCGTATAATCCTTAGGTTGATGGAGGAGTATATTGGGAGAGAGTCCTGTCTTTTAGACGAAAAAAGCTTCGAGTTCCCTTGCCGTTGGTATCTGAAGGATTATTCAAGGAGTACTTACCCGCCTAATTTCCAAATTTCTTCTTGGATGCCACTTAAACGAGGTAAATTAAAAGTGTGAGGAGAGAGTCCCTTCTATTAAACGAAAAAAGCTTCGAGTTCCCTTGGCTGAAGGATTATTCAAGGAGTACCTAACTACCTTACCCCATTAATTTTCAAATTTCTCTTTGGATTAAGTCTTCTTTAACGAGGCAAATTAAAATTGGGAACTTTAAAAGAGCATTCTCCTTCATAAGGAACCAAAGTTCTAAGTTGGGTTTCCTCAAATAATCCTTCGGTTGATGGAAAATTTGAATTACTCGGACGAGTCATTTACCTTCTCCTTTAACCTCTTCCTTCCGCCAAACACCTCAAAAAAGTTTTTTGAACGTTTTCTCCTCATTTGGGCCTTATTTCCCCAAGCAAAATGCCATTTTTGACCACCTTAGATAATTTTTTTGAAAAATTGGAGGGGAAAGAAACAAAGAATAGAAAAATGAGACTTTCGTCCCATCTACCCAAAAATAATCTCAAATAATCTTTCTTTTATTATATAAAAATTATTAGAAAGAAAATGTTGGCAGGTGGTCAACAGGAACCTTTATGTGACTTTTATTTTTGAAAGAAAATTTTTTGAAAAATTGATAGAGGGCCAGAAACAACGAAAAATACTAATTAGAAGACAAAAACAATTAAAAATAAATATTTTTAAAAAAGAAAGAATTCAAAAAATGATTGGGGAAAATGTTTAAAAAAAGAATTGGGTTAAGTAGGAATTGGTTAAATGGAGGGGAGGGAGAGAGAGAGAGTTTTTTGTACTATTAATTGTGATGGGTACTTAATTAATTTAAATTTTGATTGAGTTTAAATAATGCTTAAAAAATAATCTTTAAAAAATAGAGAAAGGAAAAATGAAAGAATTTAAGGATATAGATAAATGAGCTGATAATAAAACAGAACTTATTGAAGATTATTTTTAAAAATCAAAGCAAGTATTCAGAAAAACTGTTCTGTTACAGACGAGGCACACCGGAATATATCTATCAGTGCCCATCTTCGGGAGCTAGTTCCTATCTTACTGACATGAGACTGAAAAATCGTATCTTATAATGATGAGTAAATTAAAAAAGGAGGTTGGTGGACCACTGAAGAGTTATATCCATAACTATCTCTAATTTTAAAACGTAAGAGCAACAGACATTTTAGAGAGTATCTTAAATTGAGAAGTTTGTGGAAATAAGGGAGGGTGTATCAGGTCCGACACTCAATAGTCTATTTTATTTTAGAAAAAAAAATAGAAATAAATTTGAATCACCAAAAAAATAAAAATAAAAATTTGTATAGGGAACGGCACACAAATTTTTATTTTTTTATGTTTTACACACCTCTCTCCGGTCATTTCCGTTGCCTGGGTACCTCACCGCGCATTCAAAACCTACCAATTTGCAATGGCATTGAGGCCACAAATGAGTGGATTTTAGGTGAATAGGGGAAAAATAGAGAGAGGTAAGGGGGTAATCCCCCAATGCCGTTGTTCCCTAAATCCACTGGTCAAAAGAAAATTACTAGTATTATTATTATTTATTTATTATTTTCACTCATTTTACCTCAGGTTGTCAGTTCATTGAACTATTAATGTGAAGGGTTGTATGAATTAACGGAAGGAAAATTTGGAATAAAATATTAATCAGAAGAAAAAGGTTTAATTAAAACGGGGGGACTGAAAAAACTTTTTTTTGGAAACAGGAACAAACAAAAAGCCAGAATTAATGTTTGAGCATTCGAGTAGAACGATACTCGGATGTACAAGGAAATAAATTAAAAAATAGTTTTTTGCATGACTTAAGACACAAAGGAACTTGAAATCAGAATTTTAATAAAACTTAAAATAAGTAGTTTAGTTCTAATTATTAAAACCAGAATTTTAAATAAAATTTAAATCAGAAAATTAAATTTGAAATGAGAGGTTTAAATAACTCTGCATTCAAAATCAGACTTTAATCAGAATTAATTTAATCAGAAGATCAGAAAAATTAAAAATGTTTCTTTGCCCAATTCAAGTTTTTTTTGTTGTTTAAATCTGCAATTTTCCCCTAATTAAATATTTTCATTGTTAACTTTATTTTTTGCAACGCAAAACAAAAAATAAGTCAGGGACATAAATTTTACAAACAAAAAAACTTGTCAGGTACATAACTACCTTTATTGTCTTCCCACTTGGCCACAGTTGGCCACGACTAATTACCTCGATCGAGGGAAGCCTTCCTTCACTTTTTAAAGTCCTCCGAATTGAGGTAAAGTGGCAGCTAGTGCAATGCTTTATTTGCTGATAGTTTTGAGGGACAAAAAGAAGACAATGAGGGACAAGTTTTGGACAAGGTTGAAATGGGGAAGAAGGAAATTTTAAAAGGAAGAGGATTAAAATGGGGAAGAGTAATGAGGGGAAGGATGAGGAATAGATAAAGGGAAAATGAAGAAAATTGGGGGAAGAGAGAAAAGAAGAAAATTGAGATTGAGAATGAAGAGGATGAAGAAGGGAAGTGGATGAGGAAGGGAAGAGGATGAGGAAGAGGAATAAATTGAAGAGAGGAATGAAGAGAATGGAAGGGAAAAGGAGGAGGAATAGCCAAAGATGATTTGGGGAGCTTTGGAAGACTAATGTATATGGGAGAAAGGAAGGAGAAGCACATTGAGTAGTTTAAAATTCTGATTTAAAAATCATTAAAATTGAAATTTCTAGAAACAGTGCAATTAGAAAATTGCAATTCAAATCAAAAATATTTAAAATTCTGGTTTAAAAAATTAAATTTTGATTTTAAATAACAAAAAGTAGAGGAGAGAGTGTACGAGTTTTAAAATTTGTATCTAAAATTTTGATTTAAAAATGTTGATAATAGAGGGGTTTATAAGAGAGAGGTTTTGAGAGAATTTCTAAAATTAAATAGAAAACTGATCGAAAAAAACAAAATGTGTGAGAGGGAGAGTTAATAGGAAAGGAAGGAGGAGAGATTAAGTGCGCAAATGAAGGAAAAAGCTTGTTGTTGTTTAACTCGCGAAAGACGAAAGCTGAGCCGAAGATGAGGGAGCTTTTGGGGGAATTTAGAAAAGCCGAATTACAAATACATAAAAGTAGTTGTTGAGTGGAACATTGCCGATCAAATAAAGAAAAAAAAGTAAAAATAAAGTAGTAGTAATATTAGACAAATAAATGATTGACCAATTATTAAATAAATAAATGTTGACTAGTTGTAGGGATATTTAAAGTTAAATAAACTATATAGTAAAGAAGGATAATCTGAAGATATATTTACGTAAAAAAGAGGGGAAGAAATATACAAAAATTTTAAATAAAAATAAAGTTGAAGATAATGAGGGGGTAATATTTAAAAGATGTCTGGAGATGAGCTGTGTTTAGTGAATCCATGATGTCCAAAATAGCTCAATGATCTGAGGGGAGGATACTGATTTGAGGAGGGAACTGATTTGAAAGGATATTTGGGAGGATACTGACTGAGGTGAGGATACTGATCCAAGGGGAGGATACTGATCAGAGGGGAAGATACTGATCTGAAGGGAGGATACTGATCTGAAGGGAGGATACTGATATGAGGGATTGATAATGATCTAAGGGGAGGATACGGATTTGAGAGGGGATACTGATTTGAAAGGGATGATACTGATCTGAAGGGAGGATACTGATCTGATGGGAGGATACTGATATGATTCAAGGGAGGGCACTGATCAGAACAAAGCCTTGAGAAGCTTTTCCAAACTTTTTGAGGGAATTGGATTGAGAGGGAATTTTGTTTACGTTGAAGGAACAAGCTCCCAATCCTTTGGAAATATGCCTATTGGCTCTTGAAGATTCTTTGGATATCTGCGAACTTAGAAACTGAACCAAGCCGAAAAATCCTTGGCCCTTTGGCTCAAGACCAAAACCCAATCCTTTGCGATTAATTTATCATTAAATGACCACTGTCCATTAAATTTAGTTTTCGGACAAATATTTAACAATCTGGCCTTTACAAAAATCTTGGCATTTCTCCAAACCTTGACAGAAACAAAAGAACAATGATGAATCGAAAAAATTTAAACAAAACCCCCAGAAAAATATCGGAATAACCGCCATCCTTTGTTGGACGTTTAAGGCCGAGATTGAGAGTCTTTTTCCCCCTTGTTGTTCTTCCGACGAGAAAACAAGTGACAAAGGAGAAGCAACAGAGGAAGGAAGGTAGTATTTGACAAATGTGGGAGGATATTAAGAAGAAAATTGAAAAAAAAAGTACAAGGGAGAAGAACAACATTTGTTTACATCCGAAAAACAAATCGGCAACTTGGTGGCCAAAAAAATTGTTTAAAATTGAGGAGAAGGATTTGGAGGGAGAGGAGGATTTGGAGGGAGAGAGAGGATTATTTTGTTGAAAAGTAGAAGAGAGGGAAGGGGGGATTGATGTAATATAGGGGAAAAATCTGAAAATTTTGGAGGAATAAATATAAAAAAGTATGAATTAATAAAGGGATTTTTAACAAAAATAAGCATTTAATCAAGATTAAGGGAGAAGGATTAGGGTTTTAATAAACATTAAGGTGTTGAATCGTCTTCAACGGCCCTCATCCCTAACAAATCAAAACAACCAAAGATCAGGCGAACTGAGGTCTTCTTGGATAGGTTATCGAGTTATCAAAGTACCTCGATCTTGTCAGCCGAGATTTTGGAGGATAATCTCGCTTTGAACTGTTTCCATTGTAAATATCATTTTAGGAGGTCTGCGCAAACCTCCCGGCCCAAAAATTAGATAGAAGAGAAAAAACCAATGTAAGATATTAAATCTGGAATACGCCTATAAAAAAATAATTTGAATTTATATATATTGAGAAAATACATAAAAGTATAGACCAATTTGGTTTAGGTAATAAGCTTTCCTCATTTTCAATTTTCTAGCTTAAATTTTGATTTATATGAAGTCTGGACAATCCTGTAGGTCTCTCTATTAGAGGGTCTTTCTTTAAAGGGTTCTCTCTATTCTAATCATGAGTTTGGGCTTTCTACGTCGCGAGATCCGATCTTAATGGTGTCTATTAGACGATTCCGAGGGTGTCTATTGGACAATCCCATAGGTCTCTCTATTAGAAAATACTTGTCCAATCCCAATTTAAGTTTGGAAAAAAATAAATAATTAATTACACAATGTATTAGCCATTTAAAAGAGCTAACAAAGCTTTGTGTGGGATTTTACTTCAATTATAAGATAAATGAATGGATATCTTTTAAGAAAGGAAAGGCTTAAAGGAAAAAGCTCTTGAAAAAAGTTTAAAAAAAGTTTTATAAATGTCCAAGTGATGGACATTTGCTGAATTATTAACAAATATAGGGGAGAAGAATGGGAAGAATAAACTAGAGGGAAGGGAAGGGAGGGGGGAGTTTAAGCATTAGTTTAAGCAAGAAAAGATGGGTAAGTGTCAGTTGCAATTTAAAAAGGGACTGCTAATTTGCCGAGAATTGTTTAAGCCTAGGAAGAAGGAGAAGGAGGAGGGAGGACAAAAGACTGGAGGGAATAAACCTAAAGGATGAGAGGTCAAGTAAGTTGGTGACAACCGTTGACAGCCGCTTTAATGAAAGATCAAGAGGTGGGGGGAAGAGGTTTGGGGAAGAAGAGGAAAGAAATGAGGGAGATGAAGAAGTAAAGTTTAACTAAGAAGATGAAGAAATAGTAGGGAAAAAATGAAGATAAGCAATCAAGAAGAAGAGGAAAGAAAGAGATGAGGAGGAGATATAGGAAGAGATAGGGAAGAGAAGAATAGGGCGAATAAAGCTGAGAAAAGAATGAAGATAGGAAGAATAAAACGAAGAAGGATAAGATGAAAAAGATGGGTAAAGAGTGGTGTGAAAATATTAAAATAAAAAATGTCCAATTAACTAAAAATTTAAAATTTCCAAGAAAAAATTTTAATAATCAAGCAAGATTGAGAATTGTAAATGTGAGAAAATTTAAAAGGATTTGAAAGGATTAAATTTGGAAAAATGTAGGTGTCTTAAAATGGGTACACCCTAAAATGTACCGCAAGCCTAATGTAACGCAGAGCTATAACTTTGTTATGTTTCGATTCAGCTCGTCAAGGCGGATCGAAACATACCAAGGCGTCCCGGATTCGATAATTTTGAACGAAGTACATTGGGCTCGCGGCACATTGGCCTACTTCACTTAAAACAAAAAATTAAGGACAAGCTAAGGAGCCAAAGTTGCCCTTATATTCAAAAAAGTTTAGAAAAACGGAAGGGATTGTTTTCGAAAAAAAAATTTTTAGATTCATTTATTTCTGTATATTTAGATTGCGAAAACTTTTACAATGTACATAAAGCGGTTAAAATAGAAAATGGAAGGGATTGGGTCATCGCAGTTAAAAAATGTTTTTGTTTTCTTCTATTTTTTAACCTAAAAGTTGGGTGGAAAGGGAGAGAATAAAAACAAATAATTTGTTGAGCCATAAAGTTTTTTTTGTTTTTAAAATTTAGAGGAAAGGAAGGGGTTGTTTAAAGCCTCGATTACTTAAAAATCGCTGAGTCTTGCGGGGAAAGAGAGGAGAGAAAGTATCACGAGAAATTGTGGATCCCCTTCATATGAATGTCATTTTCAAGACGCAATCCGATTTCCAAGATAACGTCATTTCAAAAGGGAGTGAGTAATCCCGAGGCATCTTTCCCTCACTCAACCTTCTAAAAAGCAAAAGAAAGGGGTACCAAACTGACTTCCGAGATAACTCCACTTCTAAAGGATGGAGTCCCTTAGAAGTACCGTGAAAATTCCTTAAAAGCCCTTAAATCCTGGATTGCTAAATTAGATATTTTGAATGGAATTTTGTAAAAATCAAGCTGGGACTTTATTTTAAATTCATATATTTCAATCTACTTAATATATAAAAAATCAAATAACTTTTTATTCAATTAATTTTTATCTCATACAGTAACGCGAATCAAGATGGTATAATTTTTGGAATTGTAGGCTTGCGCAAACCTACTAAAAGATATTCGAATATCCGCTCCGCTTACTTCACTTCACAAAAAACCCCTTCCAACTCGTTAATTTTGAAATACAAATTAACCCATAACGATTATCTTCATCTACCAGTATCTGACTTAAATTGGAGTTATAACAGGTGTCAACTGTAATTATTATTTTTGTACTATATTTATTTTCAACGCTTCAAGGGAAGTTTGTGAGATGACAAAATCCTCATTACCCACAGGCTAATACCTTCAAAAAAATTTTTTTCTTATTTTTTCATATTTCCCCATTTTCTCCTTTAAAGTTACCGGCAAATCAAAAAAAAAGATTAAAAAAATATAAAAAACACCCCTTGGGGCCTAAGCAATTTTCTTGTTTTGTAATTTACTAGTCGGCGACAGAGCAATCAAGCTTGCGCTGAGTTAGCAAATTATAGCTCATTTGTTGCACTAATATTAGACTAGATAAATAAAAAAATAATGAGAGAGTACAAGTGTGACTGGAAAAAAATAAAAAAAAAAGCTTGATGGAAATTAATGGGGGGGGGGTTGTGAGGGAAGTTTTTTGTGAAAAATTTTTTTTTTAATTTTTCAAGAATTTTCAAACAAAAATTTTCAAAAAATTTTATTTTTTTTCCAAATTTTTTGATAAATCTTATATAATTTTTAAGGAGGTTTGCGCAAACTTCCAGTCCCAAAAATTCTTTCTTCGAAATCTTTCATAACTACAACCTCAGATAAATTGATTAAGCAAAAAATTATTTGATTTTTTATATATTAAGTAAAAAAAATTTAATTGAGGATTATTTGGAATGAAAAAAATTTTAAAATAATTTGTCGAATATCGACAATAATTTAACTCCTTCAGCATGTTTTTTTATTGAGCTGACGGTACAAATATATGTAGTCTTATCGAGGTTAGAGTTCCAACTGAAACAATTTAATCCGTCTGATGGAAAGGGATAAATAGGTTAAGCAACGATTTATACTTCTTATTTCCTTGTAAGGTGACTGTTTTATTAAATCATTGGTAAAAAAATTTTTTTAAGGAGGTTTGGCCAAACTTCCAGTTCCAAAAATTAACCTAAATCCCCAATATTAATGTTCAAGATGACATATTAGTTAAACTAAAACTTATTTGATTTTTTATATATTAAATTAAAAAATTTAATTGAACCCCCCTCCCAGTTAAAATTCCTCCAAAATAAAATTTAAAAAATAAAAAAAATATTTTTTAGCTCTCGCAAATAAATTTAAAAAAAAATTAATTATTGAAAATAAAAGAAAAATATTTTTTTCGATTCAACTACCCTATTTTTTGACAATTTTTTTCAAAAAATTAATTTATTCAGAGTGTGCTGACTGATGAAAATTATTCTAATTATTGTTCGCTGCGCAAGAAAAAAAATATAAATTGAGAGGGGGGGAAGGGAGGGTGGTTGTTGGAGGGGGAGGGCGGGGGAGGGAGGGAAGGGGTGGTTGTTGGGGGGGGGGAGGGGGGGTTGGAGGGAGGGAGGGAGGGATGGAGGGAGGGAGGGAGGGAGGGAGGGAGGGAGGAAGGGGTGGTTGGAGGGTTGTTTTTCTACGTAAAGGTATTCAAAAAATGTATCGACAAGGAAAATGAATGAGAAAAATAGAGGGGTGATTGAGGGCAGTTTTTTGTTCTGTTGGGTGGTTGGAAGGAACTCAAAACTAGTGGACGGAGAACTGAAGCAATTTTGGAAGGAATTGAAGAAAAAAAATAAAAGAAATTTTTGTATGAGTTTTTTGTATGAAAAAATTTTATATTTATTTTTGTATGAAAAAAAATTTTTTGGGGAGAAATAAAAAGAAAATTAGATT